CGTAGAACAGGACCGGATTTCTCTGCTCAGGGCCTCCGTAGTGCTGGTTTGCCGCATTTATGCCACATCTAGACGTCTAGGAGGGGGCATTTGTGGCGCGGATGAGAGGTGAACCTTCAGGTGTGTTCCAATGAGGACATGGTCCGACCCATGGCCATCCATCTGCCAAGAACATGATTACGATTAGTGAAATGCGATTGACAAGCAGTCGGATCTGACCACCGAATTTCAGCAACCTCACGCCATTCTCACATCGAGATGCAAACACAAAGCTGCCAAGAAGATAGCCGTTTGGGAAGTCCTCAGGTCCAGTCCGATCATTCCATTCCCCGGCAACAATCAGCAGAACGCGGAGAAGGAGTGTTTCAACTAACGCTTGCAACGGAGACTGAAACTCCTATTTATCGCACAGTTCGACAGCTGAATTTAGTGCGTACTCAGAGAAAATGGCGTCGTTCTTAAAGTGGTCCATCAGTCGCACGTAGGCCATTCGGTCATTGAATGGTTCCCAAGCAAGTAACGCGAGATCCCTGTCGAAAGAAGTGTGGTCGACAAGATAAAGATTCCCAATCAAAAGTCAGGGAAGACGGTTTGAGTCGGACAACCTTTTCTGATTGGAAAGCGCGTACAGAAGGCTCTGTAGGCAGTCCACCGGAGCACATTCTCCATGCAGGTTGTTGTCTGAGTCCGCCTTCGAGGTGTTGTGTCCCAGCGCCTATGTGCGCCCTCCGTTGTCTCCGCGTCCGCCAGCCAATCAGAGCTGGGACAGCGCTGATTGGCCTGGAACACTCGCGAGGTTATTGACAAGCCCCGCACCTCCCAACGGCGTATCGACAAGGTGCGTGAAGCGGACAATAAGGCAGCGTGACAAAGGCGGAGGGCAAGGAGACGCGAACTGCCACAAAATCCCCCGGTTGGACCGAAGGTGGCGAGTAGCGACGCAGAAGGAACTGCTGGTGTCTATAAAACATGAGTAACCGAACGTTAAGGAAAATGAACATGCCGTCCACTACGGGTGATATATACAGGGGGCACAGGGGTAGAGTGAGTATAGCACGCGGATACAGTGTTGGTGGTTGATGAAAGGGAGTAGGGAAGGTGCCAATGAGAGCGTTGTTGTGCCGTTGGACCTTATTCCGTTGACAAGAAATACAAGCCCCTCTCCATGCTTTCAGGTCCTTGTGCATTCCAGACCAGACGAAGCGGTCAGAAACCAGCTTGTCGGTTGCTCGACTCCCAGGGTGAGAGAGATTGTGCAGGGAGGAGAAAACTTTGCGGCGGACGGATGGTGCCACAAATGAACGATTAGAAGGGGTGGATACGTCGCATAAAATGGTGCCGTTGCCAGTTGTCAGTGGTAGTTGCTGAAGTTGGAGTCCGGAAACATCCTCATCACAGGGTGAACCGACACGGAGTTGTTCAGCGGCCATCTCATTGAGGTCGATCCCAGATGAAAGCTGAAGGTGAGCGATAGGGGGCCTGGACAGTACGTCAGCCACCTCATTCTTCGTGCCATCAATGTGGCGGATGTCGGTGGTGAATTGACAGATGTAGTCCAGGTGACGGATCTCTCGAGGGTTTAGTTTATCCCAGTGGGAACGCATAGCAAAGGTGAGTGGCTTATGATCTGTGAAAATTGTGAACTCTAGACCTTCGAGTAAATGCCGGCAAGTGCCTTACGACAAGATAAGCGGCTATAAGTTTACATACAAATGTGCTGTAGCGGGTTTCGGCCTTAGATAGTTTCCTAGAGGAGAAAACCAAAGACACGGTAGAATCTGACAGACTTTGTTGAAGAACCGCGCTAACAGCAACATTGGTGACATCGACCATCAGAGAAAGTGAGTCAGGAGGGTGGCATCAGCCAGAAGGGCTTTTACCTGCCCAAATAATGTGAGTGCTGCTGCTGGTGTAAGTTCAAAGGTGCGCTTGGAACCTGAGAGCAGACTGGTCAGAGGTAGGATGGTATTGGAACAGTTCGCGAGTAACCGGCGATAACAGTTCACCATACCAAGCAACCGTTGCAACTGACGCTTCGAGGTAGAGAGTGCAAAGTCTCGAATGGCGGCAACCTTTGAGGGAAGAGGCCGAATGCCGTGGGAGTCGACCAGATGACCGAGAAATTCTAGGGAGGGCACACTTAAGACGCATTTGGACGGGTTGAGAACAACGCCAAGTTGTTGAAGGCAGTTAAACACCGTGGCCAGATGCTCCGTGTAATCTTCGGCGGTGGAGTTGACTACCAGAAGGTCATCGATATAGGCGTAGACAAATGGTAGGCCGTAACGCACACTGTCTACGAACCCATTGAAGGTCTGGGAGGCGTTAAAAAGTCTAAAGAGTATGCGCAGGAACTGAAAGAGCCCAAAGGGGTGATAATGTCCGTCTTCGAAACGTCCTCTGGGGCTATGGGAATTTGGTGGATAGCACGGACCAGATGGATTTTCGAGAATACAGACTTGCCGAATAGGACACCGGCAAAATCCTGAAGATGTGGGACAGGTTAGCGGTCCGGGACAGTAACGTTGTTCAGGGCCCTGTAATCACCGCAGGGGGCGCCAGTCACCAGTGGCGGCCATGTGGAGGGGTGAGGCCCATGGGCTTTCAGACTGACGGATGATGTCCATTTGAAGCATGTGCTCGAACTCGGACTTGGCGGCAGCAAGACGTGCAGGTCCGAGACGGCTGGGGGCGAGAAAACACGGAGGGTCAATGGTCCGGATATGGTGACCAACGTCGTGTGGTGGAATAGAAGCGTTGAAGTTGGCAAGAGTAAAGGCGGGGTATTTAGTGAGGAGTTGCCGAAATGGGTTCTCGGGTTCAGGGTCCAAGACGGAGAGTTGACAGGAAGCGTCGGAGGAAGGGATACCCCTGACAGTGAGGTTGTCGTCTGGTCGGGAAGGCGAGAATGACGGCAGTCGACCAGGAGATCGAAAGCGGCGAGGAAATCTGCCCCGATAAAGGCACATGGGATGTCAGCAACGACGAAGATCCAAGGCAAGAGACGCCGGAGACCGATGTACAGAGAGAGGGAGCAGGTGCCAAATGTGGTAATCGGCGATGTGTTGACGGCCTGTAGGAAAAGACCGGGATTGGAGCACCGACAATCAGCTGGTGTGGCTGGAATGACACTTAGCAGGGCACCAGTGTCAACCAAGAAACGTTGGCCACTCCGGGTGTCGCGGACGTAAAATGTGCGACCGGAGATAGAGCTGTCGGGAAGATTGGCTGCACTGACCTTCGGGCTGACCGGTGTTACCAGTTAACTCTGCTTGGAGGTGAAGGAGCAGGGAGAGATGCAGCGACGGGCTTTAACACCAAAGATGGTGTGATATCAGCAGGTGGTAGCTGTCTTTGAACGGGCTGAATGTAAAGACTGGACATGCGGGGTGGACGGCTTCGGTTGGCTGCGAGATGAAGGAGAAACTGTCTCCTTCTGGAGAGAAGCAATATCATCGGCCAGCTTGAAAAGCCCGAGCTCCAACTGCGAAAGGGGAGACGCAGGGAGAGTTGAGGGAGTTGAGAGTGATGAAATAGATGACTTGGATAAACTCTGCATCTCCATTAGCCGATCAGCCATCTGAGGAAGTTGCGTAGCCGAAGAATGCCAACGGCGGGTGCCAAAATATGCTGCATTTCCGATGGAAAATTGTCCATGATCAACGCCTGACTTTATCGTAGATTAGGAAGAAGGAATATTGCTGTTCGCAAGGAGTCACCAATTGTCGAAAGTAATGTGATCGACAAGATAAAGATTCCTAATCAAACGTTAGGGAAGAGGGTTTGAGTCGGACAACCGTTACTGTTTGGAAAACGCGTACACAAGGCTCTGTAGGCAGTCCCCGCGAGCACACCCTCCAGGCAGGTTGTTGTCTGAGTGCGCCGTCGAGGTGTTGTGTTCCAGCGCCTATATGCGCCCTCCGTTGTCTCCGCGTCCGCCAGCCAATCAGAGCTGGGACAGCGCTGATTGGCCTGGAACACTCGCGAGGTTATTGAGAAGCCCCGCGCCTCCCAACGGCGTATCGACAAGGAGCGTGAGGCGGACAGTAAAGCAGCGTGACAAAGGAGGGTGGAGGCAAGGAGACGCGAACTGCCACCTCCGCATGTTGTGAGGACGATCGCCACCAAAGGAGTCGTGCGGTCCCCTCTGGTACAGGATGAGGTGTGGTTCGACTCCAGGAGTCTTTATTCCTCCAGAGCCTGCGTCGGGATGCCAAACTTCCGACAGACAGCAGACAGTATTTGGGTCCCGGGATTCAGGTACGTTCGCACATTTCAGCATCCATACCAAGAGTCCGTCCCCGATTGCGTAGTCCAGCTCGCATGTTATTCGTTTGCACCACTGGACCAGGGTTGCAGAGTACATCTGTTCCTGCGGACGCATTAGCATGGGTCGTAATCTTGTGATCGGACATATTTTATTAGGTTTCTTGGGAATTTCAAGTATAGGCTGGGCCTCAAAAGCCGCTCGGATTGCTTGTTCGAGACAGTCCCCCCTAGCGCTTGGGCTTAAAATTCCAACCACAAGGCAGCGGTGGCAAACAAACTTATTTAATGAAGCTTGAACGAATATTTCCCCGGAATGAATTTAAAGCAAGCAAGGACAGCAGAATTTAATGGTACCACAAAATTTCGCGACGGCTTGTCAACTGCTGCCGGTCGTTTCTGTTATGCAACGACCAGCAGCAGTTGAGAAGCCGTCGCGAAATTTTGTGGTACCATTAAATTCTGCTGTCCTTGCTTGCTTTAAATATTTAATGAAGGCTTAGGTTCGCCATGCCATAATCCTGTCATTGCACATTACGGCTTTTTCTTAAAGCATTCGGCGTGCCAGACCTCAGCCTTCCGCGCCCTGGCAGCAATGTCGCAGCTGGTCCTCGGCTGCTTATTCGTCAGACTCGGGTCTGCTTATTTCGCAGCTAATCTTCACTGAGGGCCGTTCAACTATCCGACAACTGTGGACACGCCGGGTAGCCATCAGATAGACTAACGGGCTACCAGTCTTAGAGGTTGAGGTAACAGAGGAATGTGTCCTTACGTGGGCATAGCTTTCGACACGTTCTCCCAATCAGCCGCAAAGTGAGCAACAATGATGCTGAAGGGGGCCTTATAAAGTCATTGGAGTCGGCATTGGCCACCTCAGGTTCATTGTTCGTCGACAACCAGCGTGAGAATCGCCCCAGCCATCACCTACCTCATGCCATGAACCATCCGTAGATCCCATGACTGCTACTGTTGTTGTTGTTGTTGTTGTTTTTACTGCCTGGGAATCAAGTACACCGAAGCCATGTGCGTCTTTATCTAATCTGCGAAGAAGATGACGTCAATAGGCGGAATGTGATTATCCAGTCAGTTGCGATTTACCCAGTCAATTGTCTGGGAGGTGACAGACGGTCAACATTAGAATCGTCATTTGCGCTTCAAATGCCATGCTCTCCTCCTTCCTCACCGACATGAGATCGGTGAAATGACTTTGTCATAACGAGAGAAGGCGTTGCAGGGTTCAATGACTGACAATGCTAAATATGTCGTCAATGCGTGCTACTTACAGACACGCGTGATATTCTAAGGAGGGGCCAGTCCAACAGGGAAAACAGAGAGCGGTGCCTCGAATCTCAACTGAGTGGGATTACCACGTAAAGAAGAAGAGACGGTTGCCGTCTGTCTCTTCGTCCAGATCGGAGGACTGACTTGTCCCATCACATGTGATTCTTCCAATTCACGGAAGTTAGCTTGCTTTAAAGTTTGGAATATGCAGTGAGGGCCGTGATGTCCGAATCACCACATTGGAATTCACTTCCCATTTACTCTTCCGAGAATCAGACTATACTCTGGACCGATAGGGCATTTGATGCGGATATGGGGCAGGTATGCTGAACAGTGCTGAAACAGTTCGTCTCCATGTGCCACAAACGACACATACCACCACCACCACCATATCACACAAGGTCTTCACGCAAACGAACTGGGCTACTGGGACTTACTCAGTCGTAGGAATCGGTATTGAGGAATTCCTGTTTTAGCATGTAAAAGCAATGACCCAGATGCCTGAAGATAAGAGAGCCGTCATATCAGCTCAGTTCAACATGGCTTCTCTGAAAGGTGATTCCGACTCACAAACCTGCTTACGTCGCCCGGAAATCGGTCAATGGCGATGGAGGAAGGGCATCCAGTGGATGTCATTTTCTTTAATTTCAGCAAGTGCTTGATTGCGTTCCACATAAGCACCTCGTTCAAAAGATGTATAGCGCATAGTCAAGAAGAAATCTCCACAGTGGGATTCGACATCTTTCAAACGGTCGTAGATAAAAGTTAATCTTGGTGGCTACTGCTCAGAATGGGCGTCTCATAAAAGTGTAATGTAACATGGGTCAGTTCTTTGGTCACTCATATTCTCCGTCCATCTAAATCATCTTGTACGACAATGAAAACTGTAATAATAGCTTTAGATGATCTTAAAATGTAGACGGGGATAAAAGATGAAAAATACGACAAAGATGCCACGCGGATGTGCCTCACTCATAGTCGGATATTTAAAAGAGTGATTAAAATGTGCAGACAATCTACAGCCAAACTACGGATAATCACATTGGACTGCACTCTTTCCTATTGTCCGAAATTATTCTTTGTGTAAACGTCTTTTTCTCATTCCGTTCCAAGTTCAAGGGTTCGGCATTCTGAATAGCTACCTCGAATGCGTGCCTTTCTATGTTCCAATTTCCTCCGAAGTCACTCTGACCACCAGTCGTACTACTGAATATATACTGATTAGTTGTGTTCATCAGATGTGATGCCCGGTGATGGCGTTGATTTCTCTCGCCCTGCCGTTAGGTCTATAATCAGTCGTCGGCAGAGACCAAATGTCTTCCAGTGGTTAGGGGACAATCCATGGGATATTGCGTTGAGACTCCATTTATCCTTCCTCCAGCAAAGTAAATTCTATCAGCCCAACCGACATACCCTGTCGAATTTCACTATTTACCTCTCTGGATCCATCAATTCCTTGTCCTGCGGCCCAGCAGAGGATAATTTGTGGCTCTAATCCTCGCAAGCTGCAGACGCATGATATATCATTTCTACCGTTGACTGCCTTTCAGTCAACTGAATTGCCTCTTGAATAAATAAGGAGGATATTATGCTTCGTATATTTTCTTTATGTATCCAACGACACAGGGGGACCGTATTTTGGGGCGGTAAAAATGTTTGCGGTCACAGCAATCGGAGAAACTGCTCACCGCAGCTGTTGTGAACTGATTTCGATGCATAATAATTAGTTCATTGATGGGGTCACTAAAATACTGTCCATTGATCTGATTCGCTGTTAAGATACTGGGTTAACTTAAACCTAATTTCGGACGTTGTCTATATACCTCATCACAGCCCAACCTAAACTAACACTGAACAATGGGTCCCACATAACTTTGCATAATATCCCATTATCATGGTCGAATTCCCGCCTTCCTAGGATTTTTCAAGACACTTTGCTTCGCCTGGGAGGTTATCAGGCAATTTAAATGTCCTGAATCGATTTTGTGCCAGACTACATGTCGATCGATGTTGGGGCGTTTGAACGTGGCCAAACGACTTGCGCGTCAGAATTCAGAGACTGGCAATGGCGAACGCTACCCCGACTACTTCGGTGAACTGCTCAAGGCGCCGGGCGCAAAAAGTGACACAATTATTTGGACGGCTCGCCAGATGGGCCAAGAGGCACTCATCTGTGCTGTCTTCCAGCGGTAAGTGCTGTATCATCTCATCGTTGTCGGATCACTAAATGCACGATGGTCTGGAATTTGATTTTTGTTGAGATAATGTGTTATGTTGGATTGTTCACCGACTCGCGTATCGCAGTCTGAACACTATAGTAAAATAGAGGATAGTTGGAAACTGGTCAAGGAGACACTTGTAGTTTTTTCTTGATTGCCTGGCCTGAACTTATACTACGTGTCCCAGACATTATCGACTCTCT